CGTTGTATTTGTTAATTTTGAACTAATATAATTTTCAATTGATTTCATATGATTATAACATTCGTTTGGTTGGCTATATCAATAAAATGGAGTGAGTGTATTTTTCCTTAATATAAATTATAAAGACCTGGTAACCGGGATTAATTAATATAATATATTTTTAAAGGAATAAAGTTAAGTTATCTAAATGAATAAAATTAGAAATTAAAAAATGTATTTGATTTGATTTTTGATCATGCAGCAAGTATATATGTATTTCCGGGGAAGTGGGAAAGCAGCAGAGATGAGACGTGAAGTGGCTAGAGGTGCAGTGAGGGCGGCTGTATGATATTATGATGGACGTGCGTTATAGAGGATCAAGATTCAAGGCAATCAATTCAATGGTGATGTTAAGTCTAAAGCTTGTTTTTGATTTTATGGAAAAAGATTTATCGTTTATATGGTTGGTTGGTGTAAAAGTATAGAAATATGGTTGGTTAGATTGATTGATTACCTCTGTAAATCTTGTGTTATATCATCACTTTTACTTTTACTTTTACTTCGATTCTTTTCATTTCCTCACAACTCACAACACTTTCATTTTTATATTTTTTTCTTATTACTTATTTTTCTTATATGTTTTTAGGGTTACTAACATTAAAACACTTGCACTCTCAATTTACCAAATTGGATGTTTACAAGAAAGTGTTTTGTGGTAAAATGTATTATTAATACCTGATAAATTGTCTTTTTTGGTTGTTTGACAAATTTATTAACTAAGAATGATAAATTGAAGGCCACGAAAAAAATTAGGCTACAATCTATATTGTTTTTCAAGGTAAACATAAGCCTTATTAAATAAATTAAAATAAAAACAACTTATAAAAAATGATTATTTAGTGAGATAAATATTTCATTTTTATTTATTTTATTCAATCCAAACACTTTAACATTTGAATTTTTTTCTCTTTTTTTTGGTCTTCGGTTTTGTTGAATCGAAATATACTACCACATCTGCTATGAATCAGATTTCAAGATCAGACCTGATTGTCTTTGCAACGGCAACTCTTATAATATTTGATACATGCATAAGAGGAGAGGGGGCACTAGATCTGTTCTAGCCTTCTGGGTGAACGATTCAGAAAAGGGTGAAATTTTTTCTCTTGATTTTTGAAGTTCTTGGGGGCACTACAACACCTCTGTTCTTTGAGAATACATATAAACCCACACATTTGGTCTCAAGTGATTCAAAGAGAAGGGGATGAAAAGAATGTGATCAATATCTTCTTAAATGCGTTCTAATGCTAATTTTAACATTGAATATCTATTGATGGAGGTGAGATGCGCAACCATCACTGACAGGAGAACACTTTCCTTCCATGGCTTTCATTTTGAATCAGATATAAACCCAGAAATAATGATACACATGCAGTTCTAATTAAACCAAAAAATCAATTATTTTCATGATTTCACACAAACGATTGGGTTTTAAGGTTGTTGGGAGGATTAGATAAAGAAGACGAAGAGGATGATTGTACTCTTTGTGCGAGAGAGAGAGAGAGAGAGAAGTGGGTCCCTCTCTTTATTTGTTATACTATTATATATAAATAAAAGAACAAAAATGTTTAAGAAAATTGAAAAAACAGATTAAAAACGCAAATTAGTCAGTTTAACATGGACCAATTCTACAATGAAACTAGCTGAAAATGACCATTAATTCAAAAAAATCGTGGTTTGGACCAAAGCCCGGAAAAAATACATACCACATGGACCATTTTTTGCAGTTTTGTCTTAAGAAAATAAGGCTATATGGAGTGTATTGATTTTCACGCGTAAGGTGACTTGGCATAGCCAAGTCATGCATGACTTGCATCCAAACACCACCCCAACCTTCTGAATTGTGATGCTGCATGAGTGAGACTACTATCCTTCACAATCTCTCTCTCTCTCTCTCTCTCTCTCTCTTCTTTTCCTTGTTTTTTTCTTTCTGTCTCTAAACTCACCACTTCCTTACTACTGCACACCATTTCTTAATCTTGGTAAGAATCATGTGGGAGGTTGGTTGGATGATGTGACCATCTCTTTGATGAGAATTATACGTAAGAATCTCCAAAGCACTCCTTATAGCATAATGTGAATACTTTAAACCTTACACAACTATCGTCATTATCATGCATTCTTATTAATTCTTATTCATTTTTTTTTCTCACGTATCGTTTTTTCACTCATTTTCATTCTTACAGAATACGATTACCAATAACACATTCTGACAGAATGAGAATCATAAAAAAAAGTCTATAATACCCTTATAGACGATTTAATTAGTGAGAATACGTGATAATGACAATAGTTATGTGAGATTGAACAAATTCACATTACCAAACAACATATTTTCTTTATCATTCCCACAGAATAGAACTGTCCACACGTCCGCACAATAGATGTTCATCCACATTTGAACCTAACCATATATATATATATATATATATATATATATATATATATATATATATATATATAAAGTTATTCTATTCTAACTAATTATTGTGTGGATGTAGGAATGATTGTGGACCAATCATTTTAGTTATTTTAAGAAAATCATTTATCCATATTATTAAATTAAAAATAAATAGAATAATACCATTTATATAAAAGAAAGGTAAAATTGTATATTTACATTACTTTTAAATTAGGAAACACAAATTTAAAAATGGAATTTTCGGAATTTTCTGAATTGTTTTTATTATCTTAATTTTGAATTCCGAACATGCAGTTGAATAATAACAACATTCTTGAAGCTGCAGTTGAATAATAACAAAATTCTTGAACCTGCAGTTGAATAATAATAACATTCTTGAAAAAATATAATTCTCAAATGACAAAACTGCACAAATGGTCCCTGTGGTTTGCTCAAAATTGCTACTTTGGTCCAAAAAAGTTTGGACTAGCACCAGAGGTCTAAAGTTTTCATTTTGTTGCGAGTTTGGTCCAATTTGCTTTGAACTATTTTATATTGACGATTTTATCCTTACTTTTTTTTTTCTTTTTCCAGTATTTTTAGTTTATTTAAATACTTTTCTAATTAAAAGAAAAATAAAAAAAATTTATCTTTTCTATTTTATTTTTATAATTTTTTATAATAGAAAAAATACATCTCTCTCTCTCTCTCTCTCTCACCCCTCTCTCGCATCTCTCTCTATCTCTCTCCAATCTTGTATGAATGGATGAATGAAAGGCTGTTGATTTCTGAAGATAATCAACGTTTTGAATGAACTTCTCAAAATTGGACTTCGGTTTAAGCATACTAAAAGGATGTAAACTCAGGTCTTCAATTTCAATAGATGGGAGAAAAGGATGAAAGGGTCTTCGTCTTTCAAACTCAACAGGAAGACCCAAGAACCCATTGAACCGATCGAAGGTAGCATGCGCTACATGGCGCACATTAGTGGGCCATCCAATCTCCATAGCAAAAAGATCTTGCTTCTCTTCTGTAGCCGTGGTCTTGCAAGAAGCAGCAACCCAGAAAAATTTCCTGAACAGGGTAAACAAAAGTGCCAATAACGACAGCTGTTGATTATCCCTTTCTATTCGAACATTCAATTCATTGTCTTTGTTGTCATCTTCTTGGCAATCGGTAACCCTAGAAACCCTTTCTCCAGATTCTTTCGATTCTTGATTTACATACTGAAACAATGCAGTGTCATGGTGGGTTTGCAAAGAAGAAGATAAATATGGAGAATGGAGGACCTGATTTAAGTTGTCGATTAGGGCTTTTGTTTAAGATCTGGATTAGCTATTACTCGTCTCCGCCTAGAAATCAGTTGTCGAAAACCCTAGCAATCAACAGTCGCCGCCATTCTGAAGAACGCTAGTGTTTCAAACGGTGATGTCGCCGGATCTATCTCTAACCCTAATCAAAATTCATCTCCACAATCGAAATTTGAAGACGAAACCAGATTTGAAGGCAATATATTGATTTCTGGAGTGTATGTGTCTGTTTGTGTTTGAAGGCAAGAAATCGATTTCTTTCCCCTGAATATTTGTGTATTAGCTATGAGATTAACGCAAGATCTTCATCTTCATCTTTCCCCTTATTTCTTCATCTTCATCTTGTTCCCAAATATTCATCTTGTCCAGCCTTGTCTGCATGTGTATGAATCACGAAGAGAAAGATAGATAGATAGATAGATAGATAGAGAGAGAGAGTATGAATCTGGTTCAAATCTTCATCATATGGTGGTGGTGATGTTCTATTTTTCTGAAAATCATAATGATGAAGATGGGTTTTGTAGGGGTGAGAGAAAGAGGGAGAGAGAGTTATTTTGTTTTATGAGAGAGAAAGAGATTTATTTTTATTTATTATTTTTTTTAAATATGAAAATCAGAAAAACAAATAAGAAAAAAAAAAGAAAATCATATTAACAGGGGCAAATCCGTCATTTAAAAAAAATCAAAACAGATTGGACCAAACAAGCAACAAAATGAAAAGTTTAGACCTCTGGTGCTAGTCCACACTTTTTTGGACCAAAGTGGCAATTTTGAGCAAACAACATGGACCATTTGTGCAGTTTAGTCTTCTCAAATATAAAATTCTTGATACATTTTAGTATAATTAAACATATTCTAACAGAATGTCATCAAAATGCATAAAATTCTTAAAAAATTTCATTCTCAAATATACAATTCTTGAACAAATTCTTAAAAAATATCATTCTCAAATGCTATATTAAACAGAATGTCATCAAACTGCATAAAATCTCTAAAAAATATCATTCTCAAATATACAATTAGTTAGAATACAATGCTTGTGGAGATGATGCACATGTTTCAATGCTTCTTGGTGCTGCCAAAATCTTGAAACAACTAGAAAACAAATTACGGGTAGGTAAACTGATCATAAAGATCAATTGGGGTTCGATTGATCACCTCAAAAGTAATTAACTTTGGATTAATTAATTAATTAGGGCACTGTAGTATTGATATTTAAACCGGCTGAGGAACAAGGCGAATGAGCAAAACAGATGATCAAAGAAGGTGTTCTTGAAAAAGTGGAGGCCATTTTTGGTCTACATTTAGTCCTCTCCTCGGATTCTGGTGTCGTTGCATCTAGATCCGATGACTTCTTGGCGGGGTGTGGCTTTTTCAGGGCGGTGATCCATGCAAAAGGAGGCCATGCCGTCATTCCTCAAGATTCCGTAATTGATCCAATTTTGGTTGTCAGCTATAGTAATTAGCTTACAACATATTATATCTCGATAGGTGATCCCTTAGATATGCCTGTAAGAAACCGGATTTAAAAAACCAAACCCTAATCCATGATATAGAAAGTCGATTTTGTTCTTCTCAGCTTCAATCAAGAACAATAAAAAGAAAATAGAAGAAGAAGAAGGAACGGCCTGGGATATTCAAGAAAAAACCACCGAGCCCCCTCCACTGTTACAGATCGCTGCTGCTGGTTCGTCCCTTTTGTTGCTTCGGTTCGTCGAACCCAAGGGACAGCCCCCTCCATTTTGCGATCGATTAGCCACCATCGAGAATCGACACAACTTCCTGCTTCATTCTTCTTCTTCTTCTGTTCGGACTCATCAACTCCGGAGACCATCAGACTCCTCCTGTCGAACACCAAGCAACACAAACACCACCATATTTGCGACTTGTTTGGGTTTCTGGTAGAAATCGTGTAAAGAAGGCTTGGAACGAGATTTACGGTTAATCCTATGAAACCGATTCTTATTTAAAGGGAAATTCATTGATTTAAATTTACCAAAATTAATTATTAGCTAAGATTACAATTTTATCTATTTAGGGATTTGAAATGATTGGCTCACATTCATCCGTACATCCATACAATATATATATAGATATTATATTATATATATATAATATCTATAACACACACACACACACACAGAGAGAGAGGAGAGAGAGGTTGGTTCAGGTATTCTAACTATATATATATATAATATATATATATATATATATATATATATATATATATATAATATATATATATATATATATATATATATATAGGGTTAAGTTCATGTTGAGACGACCTAATTTTGTGAGACCGTGAGACGCAATCCTAGCCACTCATTAGTAGATAAAACAAAAACATTTTTAAAATGCAAAAATAATTGAAATTTTTCGAAATTTTTTTTTCCAATATTATTTCGAAATATATATTTTCCTAAAAAAAAAATAAAAAAATACCAAAAAAATAAAAAAAAATACATTTTTTACATATTCTAGTAGAATATTAGAATATTCTACATATCTAGCAAATCTAGTAGAATATTCTAACATTCTAAAAATCACATTAGAATATGTACACTGTAATTATTCTATTAGAATATTTCACGTATTTTAAAAAAAAAAACGGTAATTATTTTTATTTTTTTTAATTTTTTATGTTTTTTGGTAATAACGTTCCGAAAAAATAATAATTAAAAAAAATAATTTTTGGATTTTTCCCTTTATTTTGCCTTTAAAATTATTTTTATATATTATATATTTATATATATATTATATATATATATATATATATATATATATATATATATATATATATATATATATATATAGATATATATATATCTCCATTTTTGCTATTTATCTAAAAAAAGATAAAATTCTACAAAAAAATTTCTTTAGGAATCAGTAAAAACAAAGTTTAGGGCACCCTAAAAAACAAAGTAGTTATGAATACCTTTGAGTAATTTGAGCATTCGTGAATGCTTGTTGAATTATGAAGTCAAATTGAATCTAAGCTAGTCAAGTTAAAGCGAGTCCCGACTCTTTTGAAGCCATAAATATTGACACTAAAGTTTATAATAGTGGACCATTAATGCACGGATTGCTTTTGCTTTAGTGTAGTCCATTTTTGTGGAATTAAGTAGCATTTAAACCCAACTCTAAACATAGGCGACTTTAATTTATTTTGACTTTTTTTGCTTTTAACAAGTCAAAAAATGAACAAGAAAACGAAGTGACAATAAATAAAGAATTGAAGCAGGGTTGTAAAATTAAGTAGTATGGGATTTTATGAACGAAAAGCCCCACGAGGGAAAAAGTGTGTGTGTGTGGGGGATGGTAATTTTGGGTTTATCAAACAATTGGGATTGGGGGATTGTGGTGGATGTGGTTAATGATGAAATTTCAAGAATTGTCTTTCATGCCAAAATGGTGTATAACATATCGTTTATACATCTGTAAATTCTAGGTAGTTTACTGTAAAGTCTATATTATTTGAATAATATTTTAATAGAGATTTTTTATCACTGGAATAAAGTTTTTTTAAGTGGTCTCTATGTTTAATAACAATTTATTTTATAAATATATTATACTTAGATATTAAATATTTGTTTTTTATTAGTTAACTAGGTGTGAGACCCGTGTATTACACAGGTTGATTAAAAAAGTTTTTTTTAATCAAAACGTGTTTTTAAGTGAAAATATTAAAATAAATACAAATAAAATGATGAATAAATACATAATTATATGTTAAATATTAAAAAAAAAACTATTGACATATTTTATGTATTGGTTATATGATATAAAAATTTAATACAATATAAAACAATATTTTTATAAAACAATTTCAATTTAAAAAATGATTGAAAATAAAATAAATTTGACTTGTATAAAAACAATTACCAATTGTCATGGTAGACAATATTTTATATATAAGTATTTCCCGTGTTTTCATTTGTCGGTAAAATCCACGGCGTCTTCGAATATGTTAAACAATATTATTTCCTGTAACATAACTATAATGAAAAAGTGTTCATTTTTTTTACCAATTGACTTAGTAAAATATAGATATTAGAAACTTAAATGTGTCGATATCTATGAAAAAGTTATATTTGGATGACCAAAGCCTAAAATGCTAATTCACATATTTTTATTTTTCAGTTTTATTATATATATATATATATATATATATATATATATATATATATATATATATATATATATATATATATATATATATATATATATATATATATATATATACTAATTAATTGTCAGCGAAATGGGCAAATGGGCATATTAGTCAAATGGGCAAACATTAATTTTGAAGGAAATTGTGAGCATATTAGTCAGATGGGCAAATATAGAGATTGTTGACCTTAGTCAAAATCGGTTGAACGGTTCATTCACAGAAGTCACATATGTTAATGCTTGAGGCTAAAACAATTAAAATTGTTCCAGTAACTTTCTAAATTTCAAACCAAAATTTCATTTAAAAATAAAAGTATTTATTCAAATTACAACTTCAAAGATCTGGATAAAACCATTTGATTCAAAAATATTTATCGGAGTAACATCAAAAGTTATTATGTACGGAAATCTCCAATGGATGCGATGCAATCGAGCCATGCCCCTCCTTTAATATAAGAAAACCTGAAAACATTTAAACCACAAACCGTAAACACAAAGCTTAGTGAGTTCCTCAAAATACCACATATCATACAAGTAACGAGCCCAACCCAGCATACATGCTTATGCCCAACCCATGCATTCGGGCCCAACCCATATCATTCGGGCCCAACCCATATCGACATGCATAATCGGGCCCAACCCATATAATCGGGCCCAACCCATATAAAACATACATAATTAGGCCCAATCCATAAAAACATACATACACATGCAATAGTTACAAAGATAGCTAGCATCCTACAAACATAATCAAGTGGGCTGACATTGGTGCTTTCGACCCACGAGTACAATGAAGAGACTCACTTCAATCCTGATGACAAGATAAACCCCCCACTCGAGCCGACGATATCAAGCCTTCCCTTGATAAACATATCCACAATGAAACCCTAATTAATAATTAAGGAAATGACTAACCTACGAAAGGTCTAGGCTCACACTTAAACCTCCTTTGGGCAAAAGACCATTTTGCCTTTCCAATATTAAATCCAAAAGTTAAACTGACCAAAAAGTCAACGGTCAACGCTCAGTTAACTTATGCCATACGTAACTAAACCACGCCCTGCGTACAACCTCTGATCCCAAAAACTTCTATTAAGCTTTTAATACAGCAAGCCTGTAACATACACGTTCAGTTATCGTGTTTTGTATTTTAAAAATAAATAATATTATGAAATATTATATGATATTGAACGTTGAGTTCTAACAGATAATTTTTACTAGAAATGAAGTAAAACTATGTTTAGAATCACTCGGAAAATATTGGAAGTCTTATGAGATTCCAATCAAATGTCAGCTATTGAAATTAACGAAAATATAAAGTTGAAAATAAGTAAAATTATATTATTGAAAGTTGTAAAGAATCTCGTTAGAAACATTTAGGCGAAAACCTCATCGAAATCCGAGTTATAACGAAGAAGTTATGACTATTTGAAGTTTCGAGACAAAACCAGCACGACGCCGTATGACGTAAAAAGTGAGTTTTCGATAAGCTACTTTTTAGCCTATATGATCTAAATGAAAGTCGTAGTATTCATTAAACCAAGAATTTTCATAAAAAGAACGTCCAAATCTGACTTCGTATGAGGAAGTTATGATTATTCTAAGATTCGATATAGCAGTAGACAGCTAAAAACTCGAAATAAAGATCGAGTGATTTTTAGTCGACACAACCTAAACGAGAATCATAGATATCGTTAATAGTAGTACAACGGTAAAAAGACAGACGAAAACGGATGTCAGATGAAGAAGTTATGAATTTTTAACGGACTTTTCCTGTCCCGGCCTGTTAAAATATAACTTTAAAAATAAAGTCAAAATTATCCGACGGAGTCTAAACGAAAGTTGTAGAGTATCATCTCACATACGCGTGGATATAAAGAACGTCAAAAACGGAGCTCGTATGCAAAAGATACGAATTTTTGAAGTTTGGAAATTTGGAGTACACCTAACGTACAGGAGTACGCCCAGCGTACTCGTGTTCACGGTCCAAGATTGGCCACGTCGCCCAAACTCTCGCATACGACACGTATCATACAGACTCGAAACGTCTGATTCCACACATCACGCTACACACAACGTACATGGTGTATGCTCAGCGTACTGAACCGCAATTCATTACGCCCCGCGTAATAGAGTGTACGCCCATCGAAGAGGTTATCAGGGTAGTATGCTCCGCGTACTTGAAGATTACACCCAACTTAATCCGGGTTTTAGCCCCTATAAATAGTGAGTAAGACCTCCGGGTTTTTGTTTACAAAATCTATTCACTCTCACTCTCTACTTCTTCATTACCCACCTTTAACCCCCCCCCCCATATCGACATGCATAATCGGGCCCAACCCATATAATCGGGCCCAACCCATATAAAACATACATAATTAGGCCCAATCCATAAAAACATACATACACATGCAATAGTTACAAAGATAGCTAGCATCCTACAAACATAATCAAGTGGGCTGACATTGGTGCTTTCGACCCACGAGTACAATGAAGAGACTCACTTCAATCCTGATGACAAGATAAACCCCCCACTCGAGCCGACGATATCAAGCCTTCCCTTGATAAACATATCCACAATGAAACCCTAATTAATAATTAAGGAAATGACTAACCTACGAAAGGTCTAGGCTCACACTTAAACCTCCTTTGGGCAAAAGACCATTTTGCCTTTCCAATATTAAATCCAAAAGTTAAACTGACCAAAAAGTCAACGGTCAACGCTCAGT